TTGCAAATATCGTTGGTGTGACAATATTGGAAGAGCCCACAAGAGTAATAATATCATGTAAGTATGTTATCTAATAATATTGCATTTTAAATGTTTACAATTTCATAATACTTGAGAAGATTAAAAATGGTTTTGTAATAAATTCAGTTGTTTAGTAAATTCAATGTATAATTCAATTTATAGTTGTATTTGATAATATTTTCATTTTAACGTCAATTCATTTAACACAGATTCTTCCTCAGCCTTCCTTATTTTATTGTACAGTTTTCACGAACATATGAGGTGATTGAAAATAGGTGAGGCACACCTTATACCTTAGCTATCAAAATGACATCTTTTCTTTTTAATACTCTGAAGAGGTCTTTGGCAGCAGATTTATCCAGAGTGATGCGTCCGTCGTTTGATTCCTTAACTGCTGCGTCCATGGGTATTTGATGTTGTCCCAAGACACATGAGACGTGCAACAACTTTCACTTCTTCTCCACGTATCACGGTGCTGTGGGTCTAGCGGGAGGGTTTCCCTGGTCTTCGCTCACCTGTGTCACACACAGCCCCCTAGGTGGGGGAGCGCTCGGAGGGAAAAGCAACCGAAGAGGAACAAAATAAGCATCTTCCATCTTCCTCTGTAAAGAGTTTTTGTAAAAGAGAATCGGAGGTGAAGGTTGTTTTCCTTGGTCCAAACAAAGACTGGATATTGAAGGGCACCAAGACGTGTTGGATATTTGCTGTGTGTATTTTCCTTCAAACTGCCCCTGAGAGGGAGTAAGCCAAGAATGGAATCTTAACTAATGTAAGAATATGGTTAGAATGGGGGTAAAATAAAACCCCACTGGTTATGACAGAGAAAGCTTGCTATGTTTTCTACATTTAATACCTAAGGTGTGGTGCCTGTATAACCAAGCATACACAGTACTTAGGTCAGACATGAGAAAACTATCTGAAGCCTTTGCCGGCAGCTGGGACATGTGTTAAGTAACGTGTGTCAGTGCAATAGTTGATACACTTAGATTAATGCCATTAAAATAATAACAAACAACTTGGAAAGCAACCTGCTTGGTACCTGTGATAGGCAGACTTATTGTGCCAACCTGGCCTGTTTCTCGCGAGGACCCTGTCTAACACAGTACCCAAGCAAATATCACAGGAAAACACAAAGAACAAGATCACCTGGGGTCCACAAGTCAGCCAGAATGACTGTTACCATTTCCATGTATGTCTTTCTAGTGCCTATCTTCTTTTACCCATCTTGTTTCTGTCTCTGTAAACTTCCCCAAAAAACAGGCAGTGCCATACCACAATCATCTTAGACCCTTTTGCGGTTTTCTAAAGGTTACAGTATGTTTTCCTCTGAAGAATCTCAAAGTTGTATTTATTGATTTTTCCATATTCGTAATCTGTTAAAAGTGGCCTTCATAATCGACTCTTTCTAATAAGCCGTGAAACAGGCCTGTAAGTGAGCCCCTGAGCCGTGCCAGTGGTTAAGGCGCCTGGCCAGTTCCTGGAAGGTTGGAGGTTTTCATCCATTTGGGCACCTTGGAAGAAAGGCCTGGTCATCTACTGCCCCAAAAACCAGCCCTTGAACCCGGTGGGGCTCAGGTGCACTCTGCCATGCATAGGGTTGTTAACGAGCTGGAGCTGACTGGACGCCACTGGTGTATTTAATAATGTCTGTGTACATGTGAAAAACGAACGCTCAACGAACACCTATCCTATCTACCACCTCCCCGAGGCAAGAACTGTATGCACCTGGAACCAACGGGCCAGCCC